AAGTCTCGAGGGTTCCAGACCTTGGTCTTCCGCGCGCGCTCAGGCGGAGGCCGCGCGCCGCCAGGAGCGCTGGCGCCGCGAGGAGCGCGGCGGCCAGTGCGCGCGGGCTGCCCACGACGTACACGTCGTCGAGGTAGGCCACCACCCTGGTGCCGGGGTCTTGGCGGCGCGCCGCCGCCTCCAGGTCCTCGTAGAGAATCGCCGCCGCCAGCGCGAAGAACGCCGGGGAGAGGGGGTAACCCTGGTCCACCCCGCGCTCCGCCCTGACCGGCGCCGCCCTGGTCCCAGGAAGACAGGCCCCGTGCGTAGTGGCCCAGCCGTACCACGCCTGCGCCAGCCGCGAGAGCTCCGGCAAGCGTCCAGCGACCTCCCGCAGCAGGGAGTCCCGGCAGAGCTCGTTGAACGCGTTGGCCACGTCCAATGAGAGCACCGCGGCGCCGGGGTCCTGCTCCAGCGCGGTCGCCACGATGCGGTGCATCAGCTCGATGCCGTTCTTGCGGCCCACGCCAAACTGGCGGCGGCCCACCGCTGCAGCTATGGCTCCCTTGTGCGCCGCCGTGGCCGCCTTGGCCGCCATCCGGCGCAGCGTCTCACCGCAAGCCAGCGGTCGCACGCCGCCTCCCGGCTTCAGCAGCGGCAGCAGCCGCCCGGCGAGGATGGCTTGCATGGCCTGCTCCGGCACCTGGCCCTCCAGGATGAGGACGAGCACCTGCGCGAGCGCCTGCTTCCCCTCGTTGTGCCCGCGCAGAGCCGCCCAGTGCTCCTCCTCCTCCTCCTCCTCCTCCTCCTCCTCCTCCTCCTCCTCTTCCGCCTCCCCCTCCTCCTCCTCCTCCTCCTTCTCCTCCTCCTCCTTCTCCTCCTCCTCCTCCTCCTCCTCCTCCTCCTCCTCCTCTTCCGCCTCCCCCTCCTCCTCCTCCTCCCCTCCTCCTCCTCCTCCTCCTCCTCCTCCTCCTCCTCCTCCTCCCTCCCTCCTCCTCCTCTCCTCCTCCTCCTCCTCCTCCTCCTCCTCCTCCTCCTCCTGCTCCCCCCTCGTCCTCGTCCTCCTCCTCCTCCTCCTCCTCCTCCTCCTCTCCCTCCTCCTCCCCCCTCCTCCCTCCTCCTCCCTCCTCCCCCCTCCTCCTCTTAATTCCTCCTCCTCCGCCCTCCTCCTCTTCCTCCTCTTCGTCATTTTTTTTCTCCCTCCTCCTCCCCCGGGACCCCCAGGGGTCACTGGAGGCCTCGTCACGGGCCTGTCTCCGGGAGGGCAGAGGGTCCGATCAGGAGCGGGAGGAGAATGCGGGAGGAGGGGGAGGAGAAGGAGGAGGAGAAGGAGGAGGAGTACGTAGGACGAGGAGGAGGAGGAGGAGGAGGAGGAGGAGGAGGAGGAGGAGGAGGATAGAACGCCACACGTTCACAGATAAGGACTGGTCATCGCAAAAAAAAAACGAGGAGGAGGAGGAGGAGGAGGAGGAGCGGAGCACCCTCATGCCATCAGAAAACGGGAAACAGGAGGAGGAGGAGGAGGAGGAGGAGGGCGAGCAGCCAGCAGAAGTTCGTCGAAACGCCGGCAAGCTCTGGACACATGTTTGCGCGCACCCCCCCACGGGGGCAGGATGCGAAGGAGGCGACAGCCCCACGAACGTGAAGCCTAGCGAAGGCCGCCAGGGAGGGCGCTTGGAAGAGCACCAGGAGCGCTTCGAGGCGCACGTGATCCACCGCCGACTCGGTCGCCGCGATGCTCTGGGCGAACACCGCGCGCATGTTCTCCAAGGCATCCCCCGCACCGCCAGCCACCGCTGCCGCCGCAGCCGCAGGCGCAGCAACGGTCCCCGATGCCGTCGGACCGCGTGCGGGGCCACCGAGAGCCGCTGGCGACGCCGCGAGGAGCCGCGCCAGTTGCGGCTGCCGCCGCCAGAGCACAAGCCCGCACCTCCACAGGCGTCCCGCCGTCGGCCTACGCCGTCGGCGTGGCCAGCATCGGCCGCCGCCTGCGGCGGGGGTGCAGCCAGGGCCGCACGATTGCCAGCTGGAGCAGCTTCAGCGCCAGCGCCATCACGCCGCCGCCGCTCCACCTTGGCCGCCGAGGGGGCCTTGGGAGCGGCTGCGGCGTAATGATCCATCCGCGGATGGCGCCGCGGCAGCGGCCGCGGGCGGCGGCTGGGCATCGGACGGTGGCTCACTCAGCGCGTAGAGCGCTGCCGCAAGTGCTGACCGCACCACGGCGGCCTCCGTACCCTGCGGCGCAGGACGCGACCCAGCACGGCTGCCCGCACCGCCACCTCGACGAGGGTGGCGGCGTCAGCAGCTCCTCTAGGCTCTAGGTGCAGTCATCCCGCGGCTCCTCTGGTGCGAGGCGATGGGGCGTCGATACGATAGCGCCGTGCGACTGCTTGAGCCAAAATGAATGATGATGATGATGATGATGATGATGATGATGATGATGATGATGATGATGATGATGATGATGATGATGATGATGATGATGATGATGATGATGATGCTGATGCTGATGCTGATGCTG